TTTGAGCCTGAACAATTGTATAAGCCCACAATCCTGCCTTCCAAAGACCATACTGTATAAACAGTCAACAAGAGAAAAATCTTATTTGAACTTTCGAAAATGATAAAAAAGGATACAACTGCAACACTTTTCAATCCTAAAAGGTTTAGAACAATTTTTATTTAAACATAAAATAAAAAAACTGGATAATACACAGACAAGATTAGAAGTAGGTATGACAAACTAACAGTAGGCTAGTAATTAATATTGCATAATAGGATTTCAATATACTATACCATCTATCAAATTTGGCGACACAATATACGATATATAGTGAAGAATGATATTATTCTATTGATGTTGACCAGTGTTCACTATTAGCGCACTTTTTTGCGAAAATTGCGAAACACTTTCGCAACTTTTTTTAGGGACTGCGAAATAGCACTTTTTTCCGATTTTGAATGGAATAAAAATTCAAAGTTAACAAATATTTTCGAGTATTAAGTTGACAAATAAGTAACATACTAGTACTTTTGTAACTCAATTCTGCATATCATAACGATATTTATCGGAATTCTAACCTATGAGATGCAGACAAAGGATATAAAGCTTTTGCATTAACGGCAAAATTCTTGTTTATAATATGATTATTATACAAGCACACCGATTTCGCTTCTCCCGCAAAAAACGCTCCCGGGTGTTTGAAACCAGATGTTGGAATACTAGGCAGTGCGTTTCTTTGAAGGTCATGTGACTATCAATGATATCGATGAATTCAAAATGACTATAAAAGTGTTAGTAACGTGTTATAGTCACTTTGGATGAATTGTGACCAAACTGCACGATTTTCAAATCGGACGAAACTTTTAGCAGCATGTCACAGATTTGCAAAATCACCAAATTCACAAAATACCATTAAGTGCCATTTTATTGTAATCACAATGTTGAAAGGACGTGGCATTTTCCGGAATTTTGCGATATTTACACAACTATTCCTCATTGATATGCGAGGACAGGTGGGCAAAATTCAATATTTTTTTGAATCGAATATTTTTAAGGAGTACCGAATAAACGTGGTGGAAACATTAAAAAATTGGCAATAAAGCCTTTTTACTGGTTAATTCCGTTGTAATGGCTAATTGTTCTTGTCACCGATCGTTGGCGGCGATACCCAGGTTTTGGGTAATCTATATTCCCGCCCTCTCCTTTTTACAAATATGAATTCTTGTGGGTCGGCGGTCATCAAAGTTTTATATTTCGGGTTTACCCGTTCGTTCACATCGGCAACAGCTGTTGAAGACATTGAGGACTCAAATTAACATTTGCGTTGGCTTTAATATTACCTATCAAGATTTGTAAATTTACCGTCCCAATTTTATGGGAATGGTAATATTATTGTCCATACCGTGATGCAGATATTTATTAAGACGATAATTAACTTTGTCATGTATTTCTATGGTGATAAACTTCGCAAACCTGAAATTGTGCCAATCCTGAATGTTGATTTAAAATAGTGATTGAATAATTCGGCAATAAAGGCATTTCTGCGTGGTCATAAGACGAGATGGCGTTAATGAACAGCACTTCTTTTACAGGATATTTTACGTATGCGACTTAATGCTAAAAAGATTGGGCTCGAGTGCTTTTTTTTTCGAGTGCTCGAGTGCCTAATAGAGGTCAGGCGCTAATTGTAAGTAATTCCCTCAAGTTTCAACGTGTTTTCAACAAAACAATACCCCGGCGATAATTATAGCTAAAATGTTACCGAGCAATTCACAATTTTATTTATGGAATTTGCAAATTCACCAGTTTCTTGACAATTGATATTGTCATGCCCTGAGTATTAGTGCAAAAAATACTCCCATTCTTCCGCGGCGGTTTGACGGGTTCTTTGTTCTATTCTTCAGAAAGTTCTGACACGGGGATATAGAATACTGAATCCGGAGGGTTGAATCCCTGTCCACTTACTGGTGATTTTCCGTTTTGAAATGCGTGAAACATTCTTTATTTTAAATTAAATGACGTTTCGCGGGCTAGAGTTCTCCCCGAAAATGATGTGTTCCAGACGTTAGTTAGACGATAGATAAAACATTAGATTATTAATTTTCGTGACGCCCCCGTTTTCGAAAATACAAAGTTATATCGCAAAAAAGCGTTATGATACATTTGGAATGAAACATTATTTACCGTTAATTCAGATCATATTTTACTCTTCATGACACCCGGTATCCGAAAATACAGTTGTATCTCGAAAAATGTGTTTTGTTACATTTAAAATAAAACATTTTGGCGATTAATTTAGATCATATTTTACTTTTCAGGACACCCGTTTTCGAAAATACAAGGTTATATCGCAAAATGTGTTTTGTTACATTTAAAATAAAACATTTTTGCGATTAATTTAGATCAAATTTTTCCTTTCACGGCAACCCGTTTCCGAAAATACAAAGTTATATCACAAAAAATGCGTTTTGTTACATTTATTTTGCATTCCCAATAAAATACATATTTTCCCTAATTAAGGTCGTCGATGAATCTGTTCCTGTCGTTCAAGCTCGACACACGTTTGGACGAGTGTGGGGGCGGTTTTTTACGATTTTATTATACGATATATTACGATTAAGATTTTATGATAGAAGTGAATTTGTCTCAAGATGGTATTTTACGATTCCTGCCCACAGAAAATAAACACGCTGACAGGCTTGGTTATAATTGATATTCGTTAAATTTTTACGCACCACACCAATTGCGACCATATAAATTGCAGTCGCATCGGTATGGACTGTATGTTTTTGGCGCTCTCACATTAATAATAATTTTCAACAAAACAATACCCCGACGGTCATTAAAGCTGAATTCGTTACCGAATAATTCACAATTTTATTTACGGAATTTGCAATTTCAAGATCTCACTTGACGATTTTGATGATGTCATGCCCTAATTATTTCTGCTTAAATGCCTCAAAATACAACAAATGTAATCATTTTCGACGATAACAGGCGCAACAATTCGTAAACGAGCCGTTATAACGAAATTCGCGATTGATTTTACCTCTCTCTTGTTTACAATTTTAACAACCCGCCGGCCATGTATGGCCGTCGAATAAAATGTTCACATATTCGAAACATGACTTGGCCAAGGATGGAAGGGATCACTAAAGAGCTAATAGAAAGTACATACGCGAGGGTATGATATTAATATCGAGAATATTTGTGAGCATATCACAGGACTGAAATATTTTGCACCCGGCTGTTTGTTTGTTGGCAGAACAACGATACGCTAAAGTTAATTGATCGAATACAGGGAAGTATTTATTTATCATCTCACTTGCGAACATCGAGGTTTTGGCGGAATTGTACACAGATCATGTTGTCTTTCTTAAATAATAATTTTTTCAATAAATGTTCATTTTACTTTTGCGTCTTCATTATATGTCGGGTTTTCATTTAATTTAAATTCGAAATTGTCCGAAATACTCCCAACAGGTGTATAAGTACAATAATATTAGTACTTACCAAAGTACTTACCAGGGAAGTTTAATACACACGATGTGTAAAGGGCGTCGTAACTCCCGTTTATTAATTATAAATTATTTTTCATTCTGCTTAAAAATCAACGGCAGCATCTCACGTAACTCTCGCGACCAAATGTCTTTTGTTTTGTATGGCATCGTCTTGGCGATGAATTTATTGCCGACTGAATTTTAATTGTGTTTTAGGATAAGTTATTTTCTGTTTGTTGGTTTCTAAATTTTACAAACTTGGGTAGCAATTACTATTAATGTGAGATTTGTGCATATGAACGATTGAATATCGCGACTGGATGTCCGATATCTGAGAATGAGTAATTCTCTTTCAACATTAATTTTCAGAATATCAGCGTTCATGTGGTCGAATAAAAATTATTTATCAAATGGATTGGTATTTCGAGACACTGTCAAAATTATTTGGGATCCACTATCATATCATTCGTTTATTTTTTTTATTCATGTTTTTCTCAAGAATCACCCTCCTTATATTTAGTGTACCTTCGCAAAAGAAAACTCTTTGGTGTCATCGTTCCTATTAGTGTAATTGAAATATATGGAAACCTCGCAAGTGGCGTTGTGATGCGAATATTTGATACTAGGTCAGCAGCATTACAAAGAGTGCTATTTATGAATGTTGAAAGTACATGACATTACTGAACATTTTGCCAATATATGATGTTTTCTGCCCGATTTAAACTAACTCGCACGCAAACCAAGGCATGTCGACATTTAAAAATTACTTGTCTTTGGGTAAGCTCTGAAATAGTATAATATAAATGTAAATGAGGAATTAGGTCACGCTAGCTCACGAAATTTCGGAGAAAAAAGTTTGAAAGGAAAGTAGGTCAACCTATCTCCTAAAACAGGGGAGTATCCTGCGCAATATTTCGGAGGGAACGTAGGTTAACCTATCTTTTAAAACAGCGGGTGGCGACTTTCAAAGTGGTTCAAAATCAAAAATTAATAATTATCAGATAAGGTTTAGGAATAAATCGAAAAGTTGAATTTCCAGCGCACCTAACCCTAATTAGGCTATTTATATTTGGGGGATTATTTTGCACGGGATTTGTACAAACGATCCACCCTGTAACTAATGTGGTTTCCAGCCTGCCTCGTGTCTGTTAGATGGAAGGAGTAACAAATGTGAAAGTCTTTGCTGTTTAGGCGAGTAAGCAACTGACACCGTGATACATTGCATGAAAGTTTTGTCCGGGGCAGGTGTTAGCAGATGTTATTTGGTTGCCGATGAATTCGCTGGTTTTAAATAAACATGAATTCGCTTAAAGGGAACTCGGTTAACGAAAAGGCTTCTCTTTAATTCATAATATTAACCGGAGGAGCGCTTTTTCGAGTATCTATGCCGTTTTAAATGGGTTATATGAAAGGCTAGGGCACATAACTTGTGAAAATCGGCAAAAGCACTTTCGCACTTTTTTTTTCGACTGCGAAGCACTTTCGCACTCATAATTTGCTTAGAGTTAACACTGATGTTGACTATAAATTATTTCAGTTCAAACGACAATACATACATTCAATGCCTGTACTACTTGTATGATTGATAGTTGCATAAACTTCCAATTACATCAGTTTCTATATTACATCACAAACCATCATCACTTCAGATGTGTGTGGAGGTTTCAGCCCAGCAAAAATCTTCTTACCAGAAACCACATCGGTATAATCTAATAGATTTATACGTTTAACTATATACCACCCTCGTTTTTGCTTCATAGACTCATCAGTGTGGTTGTAAGTATGATAAGCTATCAGCTTTTTAATTCCTTTCTTCCGAGCAAGCTCATAAGTGTATTTACCTAATCCTTGCATTATTCCCAATCCTTTATATTTGGGGTTGATTGTTCCCATTTTCATTTCCCAATATTTGTCAGTTCCAAGAATATGAGATACGTCACCAATGGAACCACCAACAAATGCTGATGTGAAACCTGCATAAACAGCTTTTCCAGCTTTGGTTTTGAGATTTGACTCAAATTCGCTTCTCTGTGCGAGATATGGACCAACATTAACAACAACACCAACTATTTCATTGTCTTCATTGAACGCTCCAAATGAATTTTCCTGCTTGAGAAAACCTTTTGCCAAAGCGAAATAGGAATTCAAATCCTCATCAATATTCCCAAGACATTGAATGAGGGCAAAATTTGGAGCATAACACAACTTTAACAGTTTCAGTAAACTGGAATAGCCATCAGCAGTGAGAAGTCTATATGTTAATTTAGGCATTCTCTCTATCATTCTATCTATATACTGATATGACAAATTCCTTCATTGAATGATTTATTAAATGATATTGCCAAAAGCTCCCATAAGTTGATAAAGCGGAAATTCCCAATTCAGTTGAAATAAGGAAGAAGTACAGTTAGATTATAATCTGCAAGACTGCAAGGTTAATATATGTTAGTATACAGGATCATGTATTTAGAAACTTGTTAAAGCATGCTACAAAAAGTCCATATTACAGAAACTTCCTCCAACAAATATCCAGCTAATCGGTGCGGCACATCGTGCTAACCGTTAGGAATACACTCATCACCGAACCTCTACCAAATTTAATCATATTGACAAAACAACATATCCTCAACTTGATCATGACCTTGCCTAACAAAACTTGAATTTACCTCTGAATTCAGTCTGAAACAAACTCTCTCCATTCCCCAATGTATTGACTGACTGTATACAAGATCAGAGGTTTTCAAATGCTTGACATTAAATCAATCATTTGATTTCCCCTGCCTCCAGTCAGCTTGAAATTCCATATTTTTCACCATGAATACAAAAAGATAATAAGTCTATTCTAGTTACTGTTAAAATGGAATTATAAAAATCAATTGCATAAGTGTAAACATTATAAATTATTAAATGAATCAATTAACTCAAATTATGATTAATTTATTATAAAATAATTGTTACTTGAAAAGCATCAGATACATATATTTATGTTGGATGCAATATTTTTCTATACAAGTTTAATAAAGGCACTTATAACTGGAAGAATGGAGTGGCTGCTAACGTACATAAGATGTTAGTAAATAGCAGTTGCACAACACTTGAAACATTTCCGGTAAACACTGTCTGGAAAAGTAGCAATTACTGTATAGCAGTGGTTCCCAACCTTTTATGGCCTGTGGCCCCCTTTCGACTGCTTTCAACACTCGGGGGCCCCTCTGTTTAATATACCAGTAGTATTTATGGTGTTATAGTGATGGATTCCGAAGACCATTATGTTCAAGCAATTCCTGCAAAAAAGTACCAGGGCATGTTCTCTTAAGATACTTTGTGTTATTTAATCCCCACATTGGTACAAATACAACACTCCAGAGGTATTAATACTACGAGAGCAAAGTATCCTAAGGGAACATGCCCTGGTACGAATACTACGGGAGCAAAGTGCCCTGGTAACTTCTGGAGCACCCTAAATTCTGAAAAAACAGTTAAGAAGAGATGTAAACTTTTGAATAAAAAATAGAATACTAAGTACTGCAACACTGAGGTTTAGATGGTAATTTTCAATTAAAAATAAAATGAAAAACTAGATAAGAAGGAGGTATCACAAATAGTAGCAATAAATGTTGTATAATATGAGATAGAAAAACTATAATCATCAACCAAATTTAGATGACACAATATACAAGGTGTCCAAAAAGTTTCGCCCGATTATAAAGTCTTTATAATCAAATGACATTTTTTTGAATTGCCAAAAGAGGTATAGTCGACCTGTATTGAATTGGATGTTGTAGTTCTCATTTATCATACAATAAAATTTATTTAAACTTATAATTATTATTACTATAAAATCGGCCAAAAATTTTTGGACAGACTGTCACAATGAATAGTCATAAATGATATTATTCCATGGTGATGGCTATAAATTATTTTAGGACATAGCAGCTTGTTTCAAACGACAATACATACATTCAATGCCTGTACTATAAATATGAATGATATTTGAATAAACTTCATCATCAGTTTCTATATTACATCACGAACCATCATCACTTCAGATGTGTGTGGAGGTTTCAGCCCAGCAAAAATCTTCTTACCAGAAACCGCATCAGTATAATCTAATAGATTTATACGTTTAACTATATGCCACCCTCGTATTTGCTTCAAGGACTCATCAGTGTGGTTGTAAGTATGATAAGCTATCAGCTTTTTAATTCCTTTCTTCCGGGCAAGCTCATAAGTGTATTTACCTAATCCTTGCATTATTCCCAATCCTTTATATTTGGGGTTGATTGTTCCCATTTTCATTTCCCAATACTTGTCAGTTCCAAGAATATGAGATACGTCACCAATGGAACCACCTACAAATGCTGATGTGAAACCTGCATAAGCAGCTTTTCCAGCTTTGGTTTTGAGATTTGACTCAAATTCGCTTCTCTGTGCGAAATATGGACCAACATTAACAACAACACCAACTATTTCATTGTCTTCGTTGAACGCCCCAAATGAATTTTCCTGCTTGAGAAAACCTTTTGCCAAAGCGAAATAGGAATTCACATCCTCATCAATATTCCCAAGACATTGAATGAGGGCAAAATTTGGAGCATAACACAACTTTAACAGTTTCAGTACATCAGGATAGTCATCAGCAGTGAGAAGTTTATATGTTAATTTAGGCATTCTATATCACAATTATATAGAATTTATCTATTAAATGGCTTCAAAGGATAAAAAAAAATTCCTTTATTCAATGATATTGCAAAAAACTCCCAGAAACTTATATAGCGGGAATTTACAATCAATTAACAAGGAAAAAGGATGAAAACAAGTTAAGGTTTGTTATGATACAGGATCATGTAATTAAAACTTGTTAAGCATGCTATAAAAAAAAGTCCATATTACAGTAATTTTCCCAAACAAGTATCCAGTGCCAACAGGGGTGTGTGTGGCCAGAAATTTCTAACATGGGTTCCCAGAAGTCTTGAGGGTCTAAAAAGCGTTTTAATCTACGAAAAGGTGCTATGATAAGAAAATTCGTTTTTCACAATTAAGAAGAGGTTCCCCCAGGGTTCCGACCTGCAAAACCAATCCTGGGTACGCGAAAGTTTCCTGGGTACCCTGAGTTTCAGTATCGACAAAATATACAGTCCCACGTTATCTGATAAAAAATCGCTGTAAATTGTTTTCAACACCAAAAAATTGTAAGCTATTCATTTCTAAGATAAGCTTTTTCCAAGATTGACAGATTATCAGGTCACAGGTTCATTATATCCTATATGGCGGGTATTTCAACCATGGGATGCGAGAGACGTTAGTGTTTCGCAAAGCGCTCATTGGGGCTCAGTAAGTTATGCAGGGTTTGGTGAGAATTTATCATTGCTCGGACTGTGGCAATTTTTAAATACTAAGCTTGTGTAATAGTACAGGGTGGTCGCTAACTATTCAACAGTTATTCATTTTTACAAAGAATACCTTTCACAAAGGCCTTCTTCCGGGAATTGAGTGTCAAAATAGAAATCAAATTGAACCTAAAAGGTAAATTGAACTTAAAACAAACTCAAACAAAAGTGTATCGAAAAAGAAATGAGTAAGCACGCATTTCATGAGTGATCTCATCTGACCTTCAAATTACCTGCTTTACTAGCGACTACCTTGTATTTTCTGCCTAAACAACTATCATTGAAAATTATAACAGAAGTCGATTGAATAGTATGGATATGCACAAAAAGATTTCGTTGAGTCGTCACTATTTAAAAGTTTAGTGAGAAAATAGGGTGGAATACTTGAGGTATGAAACTACATGAGACCCTTTTAATCGCGGTGTATTTAAATACTTATTGAATAAAAATAAAAAGTCGGCCCGATTAACATTCAATTACCACGAGTAATAGTTTCCAAATTTATGCACATTTAATCGATGTGACTTGCGAGATTGTTTTTGTACATATATACGATTGTAACGCCACTGACATCTGCGAGTTGTACTTTTCTCTCAAAAAATCCGTAATTTTTACTATTTTATCGTTTCATTTCTAACATTTCTCACATTTGTTTCTCTCCGCAAATGGCAAGATCATTTGTGGAACGATAAAAGGCGAACAGTGCGACATGGTTACCCCTGATTACGGATTAATCACTGTTCGAGGATTATCAAGTATATGCTTGAAATAGGACGTGGTAAGCATTTACTAAACGACGTCTGGCAATGAAAGGCAAGCTACACGCAACACTGGAATTTATTCAGCTGACTCTCGCTGACGTTTTTTAGTTCTTACGACGTCGTGAATTTGTAGTTTTGGCGCCTAGTTTTAATTTCACCGTAGAGAAAATAGGCTGGACAGTCTCGTGGCAAAACAGAACGAAAAAGTTGAATTTCTCGTCTAATCCGCCACCAGTCTGCGCTTGACTATCGCGTGACGTATGATATCCCGGACTCGGGTAAAATCATCAAAGACTCGGGCCGAATCCGAGTATCAAATTACCAGAGATTCGGCCACGAATCCGAGCACGAGTCCGAATCTTGTCGCATCCCTACTAAATACTACGGTATACGTTTACTATTACATTATTCCACAATAAAACATATACAATAAATACAATATATACGATATGTCAGTACGTAAAACATCTAAACATATATTCAGTATTTCAGTCATGTTTAAGACAATTTTTGTAATTTCCAGGTCGCACTTCTTAGCAAATCACCGCGCGCACTAGTGCGCCCCCCTTTGTAAACTGCTACGCTGAGTGATCAAAAGTTAATATAATTTATGGAGGTTTGATATCTATCTAAAAGCAATCTTATTCATAATTTACTAATTAAATGTAGCTCAGTTTTGGGTATTTTGAAAATCAGTAGTGAATATGGGGTGAGCCGACTTGGGTATGAGTGGTATCGTTCCCTCCAGGCTCTCCGGTTTCCAAATTTAGGGGGTGATATAGATTTTACCATTAGAAATGTGTTCTTTTTGAAATCAAGAGGTATTTATTTGAAAAATGATAGTTGAATTTATGAAATTATGTAATGACGTAATGTTTTGGTATTCAAAACAAAAAGGAAGCATTACTCAAATATATGGCCACGAGAGCCAAAACGAGGCAATATGGGTATCAGTAATCAGTAATTTATTTTTTTCACCAAACAGAAAAGAACACTTCATGCAAATAAATATAATAAGGGAACATAACTACGGCATTTCAGGGCGAAAGGAATCGCGAGAAACCAAAACTGGTTAACGAGCAGCGACACCCGTGAATTAGTCTAACAGAAATATAAACATAAGAGAGAAAGAAGTCAAACATTATATCATGAGAGAAAAAAGACAGCAAAAGCCAAACCATGGAACGATATTTCAAGGTATGCAATCTGTCACAGTAGAATACCGGTCTCCTGACCACAAGGTAGCAAATGCGGAACTGCCATAAGATGCGCAATTTTTGATTGAGTCATCGCATACAAAAAACGAGTCCCACAGAGCCCAAACAAATTTTTCATATAAATAAAAGTGATAGGTTTTTATGAAAAATACAGTCTTCAACCACTGAACATTTCAAAGCAATTGGTCTAGTAATTGCAGAAACTTTTTTTTCTAACAACAATATTATGAACGAGAAACCGAATACTACCACCGACAACAACAATATGATAACAAAACTATCCACAGATACACGTAGTGTCCAATAAGACCGATCTCACTTTTACATTTAAGTCACTCTGAACGTCTGGGGTATAAGAATATGATGAAAATTATCGGATGAGTAGAAATACTGTATGAATTCGAAACAAACTTGCATTCAAATGCGAGTCGGTTCCAAAATAAATAGACTTCTGGTCCGAGATATGATGAATGCATACAAAAGTCTCCAACAGACAAGCAGACAGACAGACAAATACCTCGATATCGATAATCGATCGATAAGTAATCAGGATCGGTCGTAGTCTGAGAAATAAATGACCTGAGCCATCAACGTTTTCACAGAGTCATTCTAGCTTTGGGATAGGTTTTACATATTTATCCCGGGCCGAAGAAAGCCGATAAGATGACTCAATCATATGGCGAACCACGCCTCTTGTCCGGTTACCAGTCGCATATGGGATTAGTTAGCAAGTTATTTGTCATCGGAAGCCGTATCCGACCAGCGGGCACGTGAACCACCCTGCGGCGGCGTGGAGTCCAGCAAATCCTCTCGCAAATAACTATACCCGCATGGGATTCGAACCCACGCAGGGTAATCAGAGGTGCGTTGGCAAGCGTATTCCTGGGGCTTAGCACGATGCGCCGCGCCGCAGATATCTGTAAACAATGTGGAAAAAGTTATTACCGATAGCTATTATCCCATTTACATGTAGATTTCGGATCTCCAAATTTGCAATTTTTGCTTAGGCGATTTTTCTCCCTCATACCCGCACAACTCATAAAGCATTTTTCTGCTACCAAAACTTCTGCTGCCGACGCCGTTGTAAAACAGCTTTGTTTTTTCGACAGTGTAGTGGATCTATGGTGACGTCACATCGCTTACAGTGTTTCAACGTCGGTTGAAGCAGCTATGTGTTATAGTGGTGCTAATTCAGAAAGTTGGAGGTTGATGTCCAATTGAGTGAATGCATATTTTTAGAATATATTCCTAAAAACTCAACTTATGCCAATCAGCACAAGGACAGACAAGACCCCAACAATGAATGAATTGGAGGTTGATGTCCAATTGAGTGAGAATGCATGTTTTCACAAGGACAGACAGACCCCAAGAATAGAGGAGAGAGAGATCTTTTACTTCTTTCATTTACATTAAAAAACCTCACTCGTTGCTGCTCCATCCAGCCAGCTGGTGAGCATGGAGCGCTAGATCTTTTACTTCTTTCAGTTTACTTTAAACCTCACTCGTTGCTTCTTCCGCCTGCTGGTGATGGTGAGCATTGGGCGCTCTCTCTGCTGACCTCTTTCTTCTGCTGGCCCTTGTTTTCTTTACGGCTTTGCTCTCGCTTGCGCCTTTTTTTTCTCGGCCGCCAGCTTGCCCATTCCCTGCGTCTCGGTCTACCGGCTGGTGTGGCTTCCGCTGGCTCTTATTTGTATTTGGTCTCGTTGGTTGCTGCTCTCGCTTGCGCCCATTTCCCACTCGGCCCGCCTGCTTGCCCAGCCCTGTCTATGCCAGCTCAGTCTGTGCACATTTTTCCCCGGCCGGCTGCTTGCCCAACTCTGTGGCTCGGTTTCCCTACTGCTTGCACCCCCCGCCTATCCTTTCGGTCTCTTTGGCTGCTGCTCTTGCTTGCGCCCTTTTTCTCTTGGCCGCCTGTTTGCCCAGCCCTGCGGCTTGGTCTCCCCTACTTGCGGCTGGTGTGGCCAGGTATGCTGGCTCCTGCTGCCTCTTGGTCTCTGCTCTTGCTTGCATCCCACCTTTCGGTTTCGTTGGCTCCTGCTCTCGCTTGTGCCCTTTTTCCTCGCGACCGCCTGCTTGCCCAACCCTGCGGCTCAGTCTACCCTACTTGCGACTGGTGTGGCTTCTTGTGCTGGCCCGTATTTCCTCTTGGTCCCTGCTCTTGCTTGCACCCCCACCGCCTGCTTTGTGATTCCTACAGCTCAGTCTACCCCATGGGGTTTGAACCCGCATTCATGCTAGGTCTAATGTTCGACCATGTCTCTACGCTTCCCCTGCGCCACCGTTACTGACGAAGATCGGGTGGATTAGAATCTTACTTAAATAACGGCGTCACGCTTGGCAGCCCACGACGAGGCTAATTACCCTGAAATATTTACATGAAACATACTCCGTTGATTCGAAGCAGGTGTATTCGTGTCTTCATGCCTCAATAAAAATGTTCGTCTGGAGCTGTCGTGTGCGATTTTTTAACTATTGAATGTGTGTGTGTGAATATCCCGTTTTAAATTTGTGATTTATTTCAGTTTACTTTTAAAAAAAAATCCAAAGGAGCGAATCTGCAAACCAGATTTCTGACTGTCAGTGGAAGAATACTAAGAGGGGAGGACGATTCGTCAACCTGATCCTTTATATCTCTTGTACCAGCTGACCGTCTTATCTCTGGTTTACTGTTTCTAAATTTAAAAACCATCCCAGGTTAAAAT